GTCTGACCTTTGCCATTTACAAAGTTCATGGTTGAGGCCTGCCCTTATATAGAAAATATATCTCATAATTTCAAATAAAGTGAAAACAATCCTGTCTTGGTTTGAAGTTTTCAGCCATAACAACCATCCCTACTTAAGAATTACTAAAAAGGAAAAAAAGGAAGTTGCCAGATGTTGCAATAAGTGTAAGGCTTTGTGTTGAATGACATTCACAGGCTGCAGGTGGGATGGGCCTGTCTGGGACTAGCGCACGCATGAGCTGGGCCACAGCTCCTCCAGGGAGCTCCCCTCAAGTGGGGACTGGTTATGACAGTGGGCCCGGTATAGCTCCACTAGATTAGAGTCAACACAGAACCGTGGCTCTTCTTTAAGGCCAGACATCCCAAGGAGAGCATCCTTCATCAGACAGTCGCTAAGGCAGAAGGCTTCAGGAACACCCATGACCCCATCCAGGGGTAGCGTTAAATGAGATAGATGGTAGCCTCTGCAGACACATGCGGTTACTGCTTCCAGATCTACCCAAGCTGAGCAGTCGCTAATGTCATCGTTAAGGGGGAACCCCACGTTAAACGTCTTTGCTAGTTGAAGGCTCGGAGTTTGAGGATGCAGACATATGGTGTTTTTTGATTCTTAAAGGCTTGATTAGATTAGATGGGGAAAACATGTTAGTCCGCTTTTTAAGGACTTGGGAACTAACCCTCAAACTGTCAACCTCACAGCTGTTCGTGTCTGAAAGGGCAAACCGTGCTCTGCTTTTCAAAGTGAATGAAAGCCTTTAGACTTTTCTATCATGATTTCTTGTTTTTCTCTGTTCTGTCCACCAAAGCCAGCCGCTCTGGGTTGCTTGATTTCTGATACCTTGGATCCAGCCTAACATATCAAAGGAACTGGGCCATCTTCCGGCGTGTCCACATACGATCTGCAAGCCTCCTCTGGACGTGGACACCACTTTTTTATGGGGATATTTTGTTGTAATTTCAGAAGGTGGTTGCAGTTTTCTTGGCTCCATTAACAGTTCGCACATCTGGAACATCTGGAATGTGTTCCTGTGAAGATGCTGGCTGGAAGCTGTGCCTTGTGGCCCGGATTTGCCTCTGACAGAGAGACAGCCACAGAGGACAGTCCTTGGGAGTGGGCCTACCCCAGAACCTTCTGAGGGAGGCCCACTGAGGGAACTTGCTGTGACTAGGCAGACCCAGCACAGAGGTCATGCATCTCAGCCCCGTGGAATTACTTTTAAAATGGCCTTTTGTGCGTTTAGTCCTGTCTTCACTTTCTGCCGTGGGAGTCGCAGCTTGGAAATAATTTAACAAGCCTGGCGCTAGACTATCTGACAGATTCTACGATTATTTTATTTGACTTAAAGGGATTTAGGGACATGTCTCGCACTGAAACTGCTGACTCCATTCCCCACACAGAGAAAATAAACCACGGATGACCCATGGCAAACTGTGACGCAGCACCTGCCTCTGGGGGACCAGACTTTGATAAACGACACCCGCGTGGTCTTGCCAGTACTATGGTGTACCTGTACTGGAGTCTACCATAATTAAGTAGGGACGACTGTCTTAGCTGAAACTGGCCTTCAAGACGGATTCCCCCCTCCCTACTTTATTTGAAATAATGGAGTGTATTTTCTATAGTGATGTATGTGTTAGTATTCAGGCATCTGTTCCGACCTGCCTTTGGGGTTCTGACAGGATACACCCTCAGCCACTGTCACTAAGAGTACTGCCTGTGCACATTCACCATGTTCCCTTTTACAGGGGCCCTGCCCACCTCCCATCCCCCTCTCTCTCCCTCTCTCTCTCTCCCTCTCTCTCTCTCCCTCTCTGTCTCTCCCTCTCTCTGTCTATTCCTCTCTTTCCTCCCTCCCACTGCTCCTGTCCCAAGAGGCTGGACTCCTCCGCCCCCTTCCCGTTTTTTTCTGATCCTTTTCCCAAAAAGACAAAAACAACCAAACAAAACCCCAAAGCCTCCTCTTGAGCTCTGTCGCCTGGTGCCTTTCTCTCTTGAGCCGCTTTCTAAAAGTTACAACAGTGTGCACATGCTTCGGGCGGACTTTTCCATACCCACTCACAGTGGTTAACAGGGGAAAGCTAGGGTTCTGAGGCAGCAGATAATCATTCCCCTCTTCTCCGTGTCTCAGATAAGCTTCTCACGTCTGTAGGATAGTTTGGTATGGACTCGGGAAATGTACAGCAGTGCAAAGCTGCGCGCTTCTCTGTGCTCGGCTGCGTTAGCACAGCAGGGATGTGCATCATTGGATCTGCTCACTTTGTGAGGCCCTTAGTGCATGCTGGGGACTGTGCCTATGGCAGACGCCCTAGGAAGGAGGGTCAACCGCTGCTTCATTTGGCAGTGGGGGCTGAGGCTCGGGGTGGTGAGGTAGCCTGTGTGAGACCCCCTGGTTAATATAGCACGCAGAGATGTTAGCACCTGGGCACTGTGGCTCCCGAGTCCAGAGGCCTAGGAGGCTGGACCCCTGTCTCCCCATTGTGAGACACTGGTCTTTGTTGGGAAATGCGTCATGGACCTTCTGAGAGCCGTGGACCCGTGAAGCATGGAGGCTTTCTTGGTGACTGGTGCTCGCTGCTGTGTGTTTTAGCTGCCTAAGAGGGTTTTACAGTGTTGGCTTCCAAGTCTCTCTGATGACCTCAGTCCCAGATGTGATTCCCAAGGCTCTTGTGACCTCACCTCCTGCCATCGGGAGCGGCAGGGAAAATCCAAACAAAAAAGAAATGTTCGTCCCTTGTTTTGGAGGATAGTTCCTCAGGAAGACAGAGCTAGTTCGACACAGAGGACCCACGCTTAAAAGAAAGGAGTAGAGGAAGTAACGCTTATTTATATGGCCTCCTCTGGCTAATAACATCCTTAGATTCCTTAGGGGTGTGTGTGTGTGTGTGTGTGTGTGTGTGTGTACACGAGTTCAGGTTTGCTCTGATGCCCTGGAGCCATGAACGATCTGACATGCTTGGGTGCTGGGAATTGAACCCAGGTCCTTCCTTTGCAAGAGCAGCCCGCCTTCTCCGTCCCTCGCTGAGCCACTGGGTGCCGTAGGTTTAATGGAGGACAGCAGAGGTTCATCCGTGGAGAAGTCAGTGTTCCCCCGGCTCCTTCTAAGCCTCATCATTACCTTCATGTACTGAGGCCTTACATGAAAAGGGTTAGCGGGAGAAAACACAAGATGAGAAGCAGTGACTCTGTGCTCCAAGAGTGAAAATCACTCAAAGGTGAGCAGCTGCAGGCACCGGGCGCCCATGAAACTCTGGGCGCCCTAACACTGAGGGCGCCCTGTTGCTCGCCGTGCACGGTCATGGGTGTGTGTGGCTTGCACAGCCTGCCGGGGCTATCCTAAGGCCTCTGGAGCCCCCAGGACACGTAACAGCGAAGGGACCCGCCTCACCGTAAACTCTTGCACACCGTTGGTTACTTTCCTCTTTGATGTGATGAAAATACTCAACAAAAGCAACTCAGGGTCGTGAAAGTCTGTTTTGGCTCACTCTGAGGGTGCAGGCAGGAACGGTGTGGTGCACGCGTGTGAGCTGTCTACTGACATCACATCTATAGGGAAGAAGCAAGGGGAGATGAATGAATGCCTTTTCCTTTTCATTAATTCTAAGACCCCAATCCATGAGATGGTTCTGTTCCCATTAAGGTAGGTCTTCCTTCTCCGGCTAAACTTTCTGCAAACACCCCCAAGGGCACACCTGCAAGTGTGTTGCCATGGTGACTCTAAGTCTAATCAAATTGGCACCCAGGAAGCTTCTACCTCTTCTCTTACAATGGTGCCTGAAGGAGTTAGTTTCCTGGGAGCGTGGAGACAGAGGAGGGAAGACAAGCCTTGTCCTAACGCAAACAGGAAGATGTGGAAAACACATCTTGGTTTGGTTTAAATATGGCTTCTAAGGCACCCAGAAGCTCCCCACGGACAGGTAGGATTCAGAAGCCCGCTGTCAGAGAGCAGCCAGGGTGATGGTGATGCTCTCTCTTACAGTGACTTGCTACAGAGAGGAAAACAGGTTCGAGAGAGAAGGAATGTTCTAGTCCGAGTTTCCTGTGCCAGGGCAAGACAAGAAATCCAAGGAGGCTTAGGCAAGCGAGGTCAGGTTGGAGGAGGCACCGTGGCTTCCAGGCCCGCGTGCAACAGAAGCCACTGCAGACGGGGGGGGGGGGGGGGGGGGGGGAGTCCAACACTGGGACCCAGGGCAAGCCCCTAGGTTCTAGGAGGCAGATGTCTCAGCACCGGGGAGGATCACGTGAGAGTCCGTGTGGCAGGGCATGTATCCGTGGGCAGACACCTGGACGTGGCTGCGGTTTACAGGCACAGGGGTGAAGCTCTTGCTTGTGAACTGTGTCTCTGCAGCCAATCGTGCAAGCTTGGGTTTCTCCCCTGCAACATGGGATACCGCGCTTCGGGTATGCATGCAAGCAAGTAATTATATTTACCTTTTCAAGTGATTTCCAGTTAGCATAGAATATAATGGGTCTCATAAGACATTTTACATGCATGTATTTTCTACCATGTTCACCCCACACACACACACTACTCTCCTCATTTCCTACTGCCCTCTCTCACAGGTCATCCCCATCCCCTAATAACCCCTCATCTATTTCCACGCCACACGTATGTGCACATGTGTGTATGTTTAATAAATGTGCGTATTTGTCTCTAGACTCCCTGTGTGAGAGAAATATGGTGTTCACTCCAGTGTTTGAGCTCAGGTCTCCAGGCTTGGCCGCAAGCTCCTTTTCCCACTGAGCCAGCTCTACGGCTCCCCAGTGAGCGTGTGTTGCATTCAGGGCTGAGGGGACAGCTCCACAGTGCATCCCCTCATGATCACTTATAAAAAGCAGACTGATTTCTTTTACTGGGACCTTTGCAGTTTTCCCTCAGGGGGAAAAAAAAAACTGATTTGGTGTAAAATTATTTTTTTTCATGTTTTTACTTCAGATACTTTTTTTTTTTTTTTTTAACGATGACATCTCTCCTCTTCCAGGGTAGCATACTCCGGAAAATCCTTTTGAACCGCTACTTCAAAGGCGACCATGGCGTTGGTGCCAACGGACCCCTGTCAGGGGCCTATGCCAAGACAGCTCAAGGGGGAGGTACGTGCCCATCCCCCCGTGTTAGGGTTTCACGGCACATCTTCACAGCAGTGCGCTCCTCTCCTCTGTCTTACTTAAGTGACACAAGGTAAAATGTCCACTTAAAACCCCTGAGACGTGTCTGTGTAGTCATGAATCCACAGGGTGAACATTATAGTGGATTTGCCTTCGACTCTGGGTAGTTGGTCACGGTTTCTTCATGCATACACTGAAGACAAAATTTGTGGAGTATTTTTATAAGGATTTATTTATTTTCATCCTGTACATATGTGTGTCTGCACACCACATGTGTGCTCGGTGACCGTTGGAGTGCCCAGAATCAGAGTTACAGATGGTTGGGAGCCACCATTCGGGTGCTGGAATCGAACCCAGGTCCTCTGCAAGCGCAGCCAGTGCTCTAACCACTGAGCCGTCTCGGCAGCTGAGTTACGTGTTGGATGTTTCCTTAAGATTTCCATGTTCGTAGATATTTTATATTTGTAACAAAACTTTGCTGTGGCTCATGTTGTTATGACTTACGAATTTGAATACACTATTTGCTGCTAAAAAAAAACCCAATGTCTGTGTGTTCTGTTTGTTTGTTTGTTTGTTTGTTGTTTTTCTTCCCTGACCACAGGAGGCTTCTCTGGACAGGACTCGGATAAAATGGGGACTTCGATGTCCGATATCCAGTGCCTGCTGGACAAAGAAGGAGCATCCGAACTCGTCATTGACGTCATAGTGAACACCAAGAACGACAGGATTTTTTCCGAAGGCATTTTGCTTGGCATCGCCTTGCTGGAAGGAGGGAACACACAAACGCAGGTCTGTGGCTGGTGGTGTTCGGGTTGTCACTTCTATTTTTTAAAGGAACAGTTTTGTTTCTGAGAATTTCACATAACATATCTCTCCACTCCCCTCTCTCACCCTTCAGTGTCCACTCTGCCCTCCCAACTCCCCCCTAACTTTGTGTCCTCCCCCCCCCCCCGCCATCTCAGTAGCGTTGGGCGACAGTTGGTGCTGCCCTCTGACACTCCTTCCTGTCCATAACTAAGTGTCTTTGGGTAGTTACTATACCGTCTGATTAACGGGTGGAAGATGCCTTGGTCATCGCTTGCCCAACGAAGTTCTGTGGAGCCCTGGTTTGTAGAAAGTATCATTTTCATAAACAAGCTCCACGGAGTGCCACGGCATGTGGGGTATAGAACATGTGGCCGGTCCCTGTGCTTCACAGCTTTCGTCAATACCATGTGCATGCAATGAGAACGCCATACTCATCACAGGGGTTGAAAGACTCCGCGACGGGGTGGGTGTGAATGGAGCCCTGACTGCAAAGCTTTGTCTTCATGGCGCTGTGGCATCACCATGGCTTTCTCACTAACATGTTACAGCCTCGCTTCACCTTCCAGCCACGCTGCATCAAAGAGATTAGAGCTCAAACATCAGCTTAATTTGTGGGTCCATAAAGGTCTGTGGATGCTACATTTATCCTGCAAGCCATCAGAACCAGCTTGACTGTTTCAGTGTAGTTGCCATGGTTACGGTGGGCTTTTTTGTCCTGCTCCTGTGGAGTTGGTAGCTCTCTGATTAGGAGCATCCCCTAACAGATGTGAAGCTGACACTCGAAGGCTGGATAAAACTTACTGTGTATGGCTGCTGCACGCTGCACGTGTAAGGAACAGTGAGGGCCATGAGTGTCTCCTAGAGTTTAGAGTCTTCTCTAGGGTGGGGCCTGGCTCCAGGCCTTCCTTTAGGAAAAGATGTCAGCAGCTGTCAGATCCCCCAAACTGCCTGTTCAGATTTTATCTGGGAATGTGGCTGGTTCCACGTCATCTCTTCTGGAGTGTGTCCCGTCCTCCATCTTCCATAAAGTCACCAGGAAGACAGTGACAACTCAGTTGTCCCCTCTCCAGTAGAGTACATCTTACCACACTTTTGATCTTAAATCCCTTTTGAATTAATAATTATAAATTAGAGTTGATTTTCAGTCAATTTTCCCTAAACTACATGTAAAGCATCATTGCTTATGAAGTAGCTAAACAACTTAAAATCTATTTACCAGTGGGTTCCCATGAGTGAAGTTGTCATGGTAACACATCCTAAATTAAATGTCCTATCAGTTAGATACAAGAAAAATGACTTTGACTCCTAACAGGGAGCCCTTATTTATGCGGGGTCACCATAAGTCAATGGCCATGTTTCACTTTGGATTACAAACTCGTGTGGGTAGGAATCGTGCTGATATTTTTCCTCTTTGTTTTGTTTGTAGCATCAAAATAAGACCCTACATATAGTAGGCTTTCAGTAAATATGTGTTGAATCAATGCACAGATTTATAACACTATCAGACTAAAAGAATCATTTACTTAGGACAACTTACTATACTCATAATTTTAAAAGGACGTGCAGGAGTATATATCAAATAGAATATGAAAGGTTAGAATTTAGTGGAAGGTGCTAAGAAAACACTAGCTGTTGTTATTAATGTAATAACATGTGCTATTAGTACATATTAAGTGGAATGAGACACTGTCCATCTGAGGAGTGAATACAAGGAAGCACACTGTGCTTTTATCTGTTAGGCCTGTGTTTATTCCAGAATAAGCCTCTACTTTTCTTGCCTCGGGGGTTGACATTTCAAACTATGCTCTCTCTGCAGTATTCTTTTTACCAGCAGTTGCATGAACAAAAAAAGTCAGAAAAATTCTTCAAAGTCCTTTATGATCGGATGAAGGCTGCTCAGAAAGAGATCAGATCCACGGTGACGGTCAACACCATAGACTTAGGGGTCAAGAAGAGAGACGATGACGGTGACCTCATGGCCTCGGGCCCACGGTTGAGAGGTGAGGGCTCCCTGAGCACTTGGGAGAAGAAAGCAACGAAGCATTTAAATCTCGAGGAGCTTTGTCATCTTGCTCCTGGGGTTTAATTGTCTGCAGTGTTCCCAGTGTGGACTTCCAACTATAAAGGGTTTTGGTTAAAGGCTTGGCCCTAGAATAGCCCTGCAGGACCACACTAAAATGGAGTATAATTGGCGTGGAAGTAATGGGCAACACGAAGGACATTTGATTTCCTTGTTGTGTTCAGTAAAGAAAACCACCCCACACTTTCTGTGCATGGAAATTAAACTCCGAGGACAGAATTTATAAAAGTGCTTGTGTATGAAATAACCAAATTATAGACAGTTAGATACAAACTGTGGAGATGTTAACATTTTGTAATTGATCGTTTTTTTCCCCATCAGATCTTAGGTGTGTGCACACACGTGTTTCTTGGTACTCTTGTTTTTTTCTGTGTGTGCCGTGTGTGTGTGTGTGGGGGGGGGTACACACAGAGACCAGAAGAGGGTGTTGGATGCCTAAACTGGAGCTATAGGATGCTATGAATAGCCTGACATGGGTACTGGCAACTGAATCCAGTCCTCTGGTCGAGCAGCAAGGGATCTTAACGGCTAAGCTATCTGTCCTGGTTGGTCTTTTTTGTTAACTCGACACATAGCTAGACATAACTGGGAAGAGGAAGTCTTAATTGAGATGATGTCTCCATAAGAATGATCTGTAGGGAATTTTCTTGATTAATGGTTGATGTGGGTGGGCTCAGCCCACTGTGGATGGTGCCTCCCTGGGTTCTGGGTTCTATAACAGAGCAGGCTGAGCAAGCCAGAGTGAGCGAGCTAGTAAGCAGCACCCCCTCCATGACCTCTGCTTCAGCTCCTGCCTCCAGGTTCCTGCATATGTGTATATAGTGTGTGTGTGGGTGTGCATGTATGTATGTATGTATGTATCACAATATGAAATAAACGATTTCCTCCCCGACTTGCTTGTGTGTGTGTGTGTGTGTGTATGTATGCATGCATGCATGTATGTATGTGTGTATGTGTGTATTATGTATGTATGTGTGTATACATGTATGCATGCATGTATGTATCACAGTACATGGGGGGGGGAGCAAGTCCTCCCCGACTTGCTTTTGGTCATGGCGTTTTATCACAGCAATAGAAAAGCAACTAAGACCCCCATCTCTCCAGCCCTTCAGTATGTACACTTGTAAAATCATTTGTACATGTTTTTAGATATTCTTATGTGACTTTGTGATGCAGATTTATATATCAGAAAATTCTGAAATTGGCTAAATATTAGGACCTTCCCTTCTGATCACTGTGTTAACTTTTAGTTTCGGAGGACTTGAGTTGAACCTTTTGTTAGATGATTTTAAAATTCAGCTGTGGGGAAATTTGGATTCCTATTGTGGGGTTTTCATTTCCCTTTGGTTAAAAATGTAGCTCAAATCCAGCCGCCACTTGCTTTCCAGTGAGAGATCCATCACTTCACTTGAAGGAGGGAATAAAAGGGCAGCTAACAGAGGCATCTTCAGCCACCTCCAAGGCGTACTGTGTGTACAGAAGAGAAATGGACCCAGAAATAGACATGATGTGCCCGGGGCCAGAAGCAGGAAGTGCAGAGGAAAAGTCTGCAGAGGAAGTTACCATGAGCCCGGCCATCACCATCATGAGGCCCATCCTCAGGTTCCTGCAGTTACTGTGTGAGAATCACAACAGGGAGCTACAGGTAAGCCCCCCAGTGGGAGAGCTCTGTAGGCTGTGGCTGAGACTCAACCCAGTGAATTCCGGAGAGAACCCTGGAGAAGGAGTAATCAACAAAGGCAGCAGTGCCCTGTTTAAATGAAAAGGAAGGAAAGTAAGTGTAGAGATGTTTTATGCATGAAAAACAAACAAATGCACACATTGTCGTCCTGTGGTCCAGAACTCACATCTTAGTGTCGCTGGACCCCGTCTCTCTCCTCTGTGGTGTTTGCTGAGGACCATCACCTTCGCCTCATCTGCCTTTCATGGTCTTAGACTCGGGTGTTTATATCGTTCCCAATGAATAGTTGTTGAGCACAATATTGAATATATTTTCCGTTTCATTAGAAACAAAGTCATATAAAACATTTTTTTACAATAGTGAAAATTGCTTTGCAAATTAATGTAGCCCACATCCATAATATCTCCACCACTACCATTTCCTCTGTCATATGCGATGGGTGGACGAGGCCTGATCGAGACTTTGCCTCTCTGGCATTATTTGTATGCATTGTCCATGGCCCCATAGCAAAGGCACAGGAAAGGAGTTACGTTGGTTGACCTGACTCAGGGACAAAGAGGACGGTCACCTGAAGAGTTTCCATTTGGCAGACTGCTTCCAAGAAAGGCACATGCCCACCACGCCAGCCAGCTTAGCTACAAACTAGTGTAGCTGGCGAATGCTTTTATTAGCGAATTATAGTGCACTGACTGAGACTCCTGCAGTAGGTCCTGCCTGGGTCCCACCTCGTCTTGTCACTAAGTAATCTGGTTCTAAGAGCGCCTGTGCACACAGAGAGTGGCAGAGTGAGGAGACGTGTCCACTGTTGTCTAGAACACTAGGGTCCGAAAGGCAGGAGATGGTATGTTCAGACGAACCGCTGCCCATGGTGATGAGATGCTCTGGAATGAACGAGGCGTGAGCATGGCTCCTGTGGACCAGCCTGCTGCAGCCTAGGTCAAGCCTGGCAGTGCATGCTGAGTGGTTGCTCACTGTGACCCGCGTGCCCTGACAGTGTGGGTCACAGACTTCAGGGCACATGCTGTCATATCTGACTTGATGTCATTCACAGAAGTCTGGTTCAGGCATCACAGAAGGCTACTTTGATACTAAGAGTCTCGACTGTTTATTTAGTAACTTTGTGTGCTGTGGCATTGCTTATTTCCTGGCGGAGCTTATCCATACATGCGGAAGTACTTCCTAAGATGCCAAACCTACCATGCTGCCAGGGAAAAGGCTTCGGCTTTGGCTGTGACGCTTTCCGTGCTAATGGGCAGTGAGCAGTGGTTCTTTTGTGTGTATTTACACAGATCTAGGATCATTCACGGTAGCGGGACTCTTCACTGAGATGATGTTTCCCATACTGTGGTCTTATGGTCCCTGCACAGTGAAGACACAGGGTTGTCATTTGGAAGTTAGACCCCCCCCCAACACTTTATCTCCCTTTCCCTTTTTACTTTTCACACTTATTTCCACCCTCTGTATGTTTAAAATGCTGGCAACGGACCGAAGGTGCTTTCGCTGGAACCCGAGGGAATCTCTCTTTTAAGAGAGACTTAGTGCATCAGTATTTAAACGTTAATTGATTTTAAAATTAGCTTGGAAAACAGAGAGTTTTTTTTTTCAATTTTTATTTATTTATTTTACATCCCAACTGTGGTTCCCCATCCTCCCTCTTCCCCCAGCCCCTCCCGCAACCTCTGCTCTGCCTCCTCCCCTCTGGAAGGCGGTGAGCTTTACCGCCGTTCTCATCCCTGTCACTATGCTTAGACACAGCCACACCCATTGTGTCCCCTTATTTCTCCCCTGTTTGTTGGGCCCCATCTTTCCCCAAGTTGTCCCACTTTCTTGTAAAGACCAGTTGACTTCCATGCTGGCACGAATATGTTTGAGTAAAACACACATACACACACACACACACAGACAGAGACAGACAGACAGACACAGAGAGAGAGACAGACAGACACACAGAGAGACAGAGACAGACAGACACACAGACACACACACACACAGACAGAGACAGACAGACACACACAGAGAGAGAGACAGAGACAGACAGACAGACACACACACAGACAGAGACAGACAGACAGACACACACAGAGACAGACAGACAGAGACAGACAGAGAGACAGACAGACACACAGAGAGACAGAGACAGACAGACAGACACACAGAGAGACAGAGAGACAGAGACAGAGGGACAGAGAGAGGGGAACTTATTTCTGCTTTGCTCTGTCCTTCAGTAGCACATTCTTTCACCCCTCCAGAACTTCTTGAGGAATCAGAACAATAAGACAAACTACAACCTTGTGTGTGAGACGCTACAGTTTCTGGACTGCATCTGCGGAAGCACTACGGGCGGCCTGGGCCTGCTGGGGCTCTACATCAACGAGAAGAATGTAGCTTTGGTCAACCAGACCCTGGAGAGCTTGACCGAGTACTGCCAGGGCCCGTGCCATGAAAACCAGGTAACCGTGACAGCAGAGCTTCACGTGACGGGAGCCACGACTCAGGGGGGCAGTGTGCCAGGCTGAGCACAGAGCCAGCATGGGGAAGCCTTTCTGAAAATGCTAGGCTGCATTTTACATTCCACCGTGAGAGAAGATTCCCATGAATATGTTTAAGATAAAGATTACTGAAACAAGGGCAAGGTTATATTTCTTCCCGATGTTCAGTTTTTCTCCGTAGGGAATCTCTCCAGATGCGCGGAGTTAACTCTCTATGGCTTTGGATCCACTGCAGTGGGGGGTGGGGAGTCTAATACTCATGTTACACACTTGCGAGCTAGTCTAATACCTGTGTCACACACTCAGTGAACTAATCTGGTATCTGTGTTACAGACCAGGTGATCTAGTCTCATACCTATGTTAGGCATGCGTGTGAGAGGCTGGTACTCATCTCCAGCTCCTAGAATATCTTGCTCTACTTGAAGGACACATTATGGGAGAAGACAGCACATACAAAGGAGTAAAGGGGCATTCTGACGACTGTTTAGCATCTACGAAGCATCTTGGAGCCGCCTTCACAGGCAAGGTCCAGGGGCTGAGTCTCATCGTCAGCCATTTCTGGATGCAAACTTTAAAGCTGTGATTGTCACTAAGCATCGGTGGTTGGTGTAGAAGGGGAATGTGGAAAAAGGTCAGATTTCTATTGCAGATTATACGACTGTCCTCACACATACTGTGTCTGTGTGCACACATATGTCTGAATGCACACTCGATATGCACGCAACCATGGGTTCGTATTATGGATACATGTTGATCATGTATGGTTATTACCTCCTCCTCTGTAATGTGTTTATGACCCTAAAAGCATTTTAAGATCCTTTCCATTAATTTTCAAGATTATATTCTTGTTTCCTGAAACAATGACAGACATTCTTGGCTGCAGATTCAAAATCAATGCAAAGTACACAAATTCAGTTTGGTCTTCTTGATAAAACTCTATGGTAGAAAATACATACATACATACAATCTTTCTGTAGTGTTCTACTTTGTGAGAAGTCTTTCAGTGTTCTCTACTTTGTGGTAACAGTGAAGTTAGGTTTACTGAAACCCCGTAAGTTGTCAGAGTGAAAACGTATAATAAAATAGCAGGTCCTACCTGGAGATTTCCCCATGCTGTGAAAATGCATGGAAGGTCAGTTTGGCAGGTGTTTCCATGAGCAGAGTCCCCAGGACATAATGTCAGTGTTGGACAGAAGTACCTGTCCTCTGCACAAATGCCAGGCCCAGCCGTCTGTTGGCCGGGGCTGCTCTTTCTTATGTTACTCACTAAGGTGTCAGTTTTTCAAGCTACTCGTGTGGGTTAGAAGTCCTCAGACTGTTTCCATAAAAGGAAGCTTGAAAGCCTCACACAGTGTCCTTCACCCTCGGAGTACGCACACTGCTCTCTGGGGTGTTTTTATACTTTGCTCAACCACATTCCCTCCACAAATATGCAAGTCCAAGAACCCCATGAACGTTCCCGACATCCAGGACGCGCGGTCACATCTGGTCTGAGTTTTGTGAAATCCACATACAATCCCATTTTTTTCTTGTCCCCTTAGATTTATCATATCTTAAAGTTCCAGATTTTGTGTTAGTGACTGGGAGAGTTTTAACTTACCCAGTCCTCTTTGAAATTCTGAAGTTCTTTGTGTCAAAGACAGGTGTTTTTCATAATGTGTCAGTATTCTGTCCTCAGTACCAGTCGATTAATAGGCCCCACCAAAAAATACCAAACCAAACAAAAAAACAACAAAAAAACTAATTAAAACGTCCAACAGTGTCTGCACCTGGTATTTAAAAGTTTCAAGTCTTCTGTTACCATTTCTAGTGCATGCCATTTTACAAGATCTCCTTTTCTAGACCTGTATCGCGACTCACGAGTCCAATGGCATCGACATCATCATCGCCTTGATTCTGAATGACATCAACCCTCTTGGCAAATACAGAATGGACTTGGTGTTACAGCTGAAGGTAGTGTGATCCCAGTTCTTTGCTTACGTGTCTCCCTCCCGCTCGGAGTGGATTGTAAGTCCTGAAGTGATTGTACAATTCACCTTCTCAACTCAGGGTCTCCAAGTCATCGATCGTGCAACACACCGTCTCAACCCAGGAACTGGCAAGAGAGGGGCAGCCAGCTCACACGGCACTCCCTGAGCCAGGGAAAGCTCGATTCACCCGCAGGCTGTAGTTACTGTGAGGTTCTGTGGAAGAGATGTTGAGGCCGCCCCTCACCTCTTCTCCTCTGCTTTAACTTCCTGTTTTTCTTTGCAGACAGAAGTGTAAGGGTGTGGAGACACACTGGGTCATAGGTTTTTAATCTGCCCTGGCTTTACAGTTAACTAGCGTAAAGGAATGTTATATTTTAGTTTAATGTCTTTCTTCCAAGTACTGTGTTACATAATCTAGCCACCTCCCAACGCTTGTTCAAATGAAAATAGAATAAGTAGATATAAAACCCATAATAACGTACATAAAACCATACATGCTAAGAAACGACTTGAGGCCGCATTATTGTGTTGAGTGTTCACACTGGCGAGAAGCAAACCCAGAGGCTAAGGAAATAGCTCTGTAAGTACAGGACTCAAGTTTGCTCCCCAGAAACCCTCTGAAAAGGCCAAGTGTGGTGATATGCCCTCCCCACCCTAGCCCTGAAGAGGGTCATCTCTGGGAATCTCCAGCCTGACACCATAGCCCGTAATCAGTGAGCTGCCGGCCACCGAGAGACCCCGTCTCCCAAGGCAAGGTAGATAGATGGCATATGTACGCGATGTCTGAGGCCGTCCTCTGGTCTTCACATGCACAGCGCACACAAACAAAACTCATCGCATGGCTAAACACATGACTCGTTGCACTTATTTTGTATGGACAGTGGAATAAAATGTTTTCTGTTCGTAAGACAAAATACGACGTTTCAGATTTCACCTGGTTGAGAAAACACAAAGGGGCCGGTGACCTCAGTTGACACAAATGCCGGGGATTGCTCGTCTGTGACGTGGACTGTGCATGTGTGCTGACCCTGTCCTTGTCCCCAGAACAACGCCTCCAAGCTTTTGCTGGCCATTATGGAGAGCAGGCGCGACAGTGAGAACGCGGAGAGAATTCTCTTCAACATGAGGCCCAGGGAACTGGTAAGAGCATTTGCCCAGGCTGCCTGCTAGGGGCAGCATCCGTCACTGCTCAAGCACCGTGGCCTGAACTGGGGGACGGTGGTGAAGAACCATGCGACTCAGGCCTAGCGATTCACCAGGTTTTAGTTTAGAATTCACTTTCTGTTTGTATTTATGTGTATGTGTGCCTGTGCGTATGTGTGTCCCCTGTGTTCTGGCGCCCTTAGAGGCCAGAAAAGTGTGTCAGATCCCCTGGAGACGAGGTTACAGGCTGTCGCAAGCACCTGGACATGGGTAGTGGGACTTGACCTGGGGTCCTCTAAGAGCAGGAGGCATGCTTAACCCTGAGCCGTTGCTTCAGCCTGATGTTGCCTGTTTTGTCCACTTTAAGCATTTCTCTTAGCTTAATTTCCACACTCTACTTAACTGTATATAAGTGCCTTTTGCAAAAAATAAAAAATAAAAAAGAAGTGTTAATGATGCACAGATTAAGATACATGGGATGAGGATAAAATATGGGTTATATATTTTATTCTGGGAGAAATCACTTACATGAGAAACCAATGACCCTCAAGTTCCCGCTCCACCCAGGCTGCTCTCTGTGGCCCGGCAGGAAGTAAGAGACGGAGCTGGGATCCGGGACCCCAGACCCAGCCTCCCACAAGTCACATCCCCACCTGTGCCCATGCCCCCAGTGGGCGTGGTCAGTGCGCCAGGTGTGGGCGGGGTGGACATCTCACTACAAATGGTCTTGGCTTTGGTTTAATGATTCCTGGGTAGAGTTACCTATAGTGGGCTCAGCCCTCTAGATGCACAACTGAGGGCTGAACGCATTTTTAAAAAGCACACTGCACCAACACGTGCAGACTCGGCTTGTTTTCTCCTGCCAGTGCAATGATCCACGTGATACTTGCATGGTGTTACATATCGAAAGCAAGCCGGGGACGATTCTGAGCATACAGGAGGGCATAAATGGGTGCCCAGTTTACATGCAGACCACTCCAGCTTATAGCACTTATAGCACCTGAGTACTCCCAGGTCTTGGAATCCAGTTCCCCAGGGACACCCAGGAATGACGGTTTGCAAGGGAGGTCTGAAGACCATGTTTCCCACACCCTGAAGTCCTGCTTGTACATTTCCGAAAGCATGGGTGAATTTTGTGTGTTTTGTGTATCGTTGCTATAAATGAACTATCACAGAACATCTGGCCTCAGGGGAAGAGGAAGACATGATCAGGACTCCATGAATGGGAGTTCAAAACTCCCTCCCTTCTCCCTTCTGGCACACAAGCAATGATGTCATTTGTGTGTGTGTGCTTCAAAAGCAATGGGCTCGAGCCTACTGCTGAGTGCTCCTGCCCGTGGTGACGAAGTCCTGCCTTGTCAGTGATGTCACTGGTGCTGCTGGGAGTCCTAGGGAGGCTGGTACAGCATTCTCTGGGCTCGCTGGTGAAGAATGGGGTCGGGAGGGACAGAGGGAGAGAGGAGACATGCAGCTTAGCTTTTCATTCTTAAAGTCTCGTCTCAACGGGCAGTAGAGTAAGAAGACTAGGGATTGCCTGCCCTCTGGTTAAGGGGGGACACTGTATTTATTTGACAAAGCAGTGTGCACTCATTCAAAAGAATCTCCTGTGCCATTTTAACCCTTTTCTATCATCCGCTCCTGCTCCGAGACCCACCCTCAAACTGAGTTAGGTTCCTGCCCCAGACATCACAGGACCAGTCCACTGCTGACCCTTGAGCAGAGGTATTCTCCATGTCCTTGTGGGTTCTTCCGTGCCCAGCGCTGGGACCCGCACACTGTCCCCCAGCTCCCTGTTGAGTGCTCAGTAAAAAGTGGAATGTTTCTCAGGGTTCCAGATCCTCTTAGACCACGGAGACTTCAGAGTGCTAGTGTTCAAAGTGGGAAACAGGAGTGTTCACCATAAACCGGGAACATTGTCACAATATGATTCCATGTTCACTTAAATAACTGTGGTTTTCAAAAATATTTTAAGAATTATTTTCTGTTAGTATATGTTGTTGGTTTTATTTGTTTTTATGTTTTTTGTTTTGTTTTTATTTTTTTGGCACAGAGTTTCTCTGTGTAGCTTTGTAGACCAGGCTGGCCTCGAAATCACAGAGATCCGCCTGCCTCTGCCTCCCGAGTGCTGGGATTAAAGGCATGAGCCACCGCTGCCTAGCTATATCATTGGTTTTGTCAGCCACAGTGGGCCGGGCCCTCCCACATCAATTCCCAATCAAGAAAATGCTCCATAGGCCAATCTTAGGGAGGCAGTCTCCCGACTGAAACGCCCTCAGATAACTCTAGGCTGTGTGTGGTCAACCATGGAAGCTAAGACATACACCATTCCACGTTTCTTCTCCCCACATCTATCCTATTTTCCCTTTGCCGGTCCTCCCCATCCCCAGCTCAGATACCTGCTGCGTTCATCGCGCATGTATTCCATTACCCCATTCCCCTGCTTTCTCTTCCTCCAGCTTCCTTCTTCTCACAGTGCTGCCTGCCTTCATACCCTGCAGATTGGCACACGCACACATTTAAATCTCGAGTCTGCACATGAGAGGAAAATGCAGTGTTCTTTTATTTAGAGCTTTTATAATTTTTGGCTGTCATGAAGCCTCCCGCTTTTAAGTTACAGTTCACAAGCAATTTGATGTGTTGCTGCCACCGTTCAGACCCTGTTCTCACTACTTATTTATTTATTCATTGCTAGGTGGACGTGATGAAGAATGCCTATAACCAAGGACTGGAATGTGACCACGGGGATGAGGAAGGAGGGGATGACGGTGTTTCTCCAAAGGACGTTGGGCACAACATCTACATTCTGGCCCATCAGGTACCACATTTTTTTTTATCTCCATATATCTTGCTTATCTGGTCATTGTGTCTCATGCCGATTATAATATTTTTACCTTCTGACGACCTTATTTATTCAGCACCCACCTTCCTCGGTTTCAGTTAGAGAAAACAGTAAGTCCTCAGAATGCCCCATTATGCAATTCAGGATCCGCTAGGGAGCCATTAACAAGAAGAGGCTTGGGAGAAAACGTCTATGCCTGGAAGAAGAAAGTGTCTCACACCAGAGCCTCAGGAGAGGGGAGCCAGGCTTCTGAGGAGGCAGGGAGTAAAGAGGTGGGTAGGAGTATTCTGCAACTTAGCCAGGGCTAACCCAGCGGGAGCTCCGGCCTTCAGTCATAAAGTTCCACCTCTCAGTGCTCCCCACTGGATTCCCAGAATCTAAAAGCTGTCGTAAATGTCTTCCCTGGTATTTCTGTTTCACTGCTGGTAGGTACCGATGTTTGATAAATAAGCATTGCTTGGTGAGTTCACTTCCACAGACATGGTCAATTCTGAACTTTCGTCATCTAACACAGATAGGCTGCAAACGAAAAGCTCTAAATGTGCGTGCACAGACTTGATTTTTGTCACCAATGGCCCCGTCATTTTGGGAGGATAAAGTTCAGGCTTTGAAAATATCTCAAGCTTCTCCTGCTTTCCTATTCATCCTGTCTGTCGGTTAAATAAATACTGATTGATGGAAGGTCAGATTCTGAGCAGATCTGGTTTTAAAGGTTGCTCTTTGGACATTTCTTGTGCCCTTCTGCCTTCATATGGCCATCTAATGGGTATAAACTTGAATAATGTTTTCCAAGTCTTCAGGGGAGGAATCCAGTTCTAAAAGCTCCAGCGCGGGATTGTTGCTCTTTTGCGATGTAAGTCAGTATCTTGAGATTTGCAAGATTTTTCGTAGTCTGCCCATTCACAGGGTGGGGGCAGCCGAGTTAGAGCGGTGGAGACAGAAAGGTGTTTTAGGCATCGAGGGACCAAAAACAAAGGCAAGAGGCGAGTGGAAGGGAGCACGTGGCGAAGATTTAGGATGTGGGGAAGTCCCATTTCAGAGAAAGAAACGTCATGTGACAGAGCTGATTCAAGCTAGGGGGGAAATGAGTGGAGAATGAACTTGAATGTGAACAGAAAGAAGTAACTCCCATGGTGTTCTACAGGAACACAGTGACATAGTGTGTGTCTGGGGCAGAGGGTTGCCTCAGAGTCCGACCCCTTGGTGGGGAGAGGCAGAGACGATTGGGGAGGAGGAAGCAGCGGTGGCCTTCTCTAAGAGAGCCACCTGCACAGTCTTCACTGGAAGCTGGTCTTCCCCTGCCGGAGAAGGGTGTCCCTCAGCATGGGTAAGCCTGCGCACGTCAGGCCAGTCTTGTGTGTATGCCATGAGACATGAACCTACAATCAGGCTACACTTGCCCGAGAACCATCACAATTGCAGGTGTTGGATCCAGATCAACCCCTGTGTGCCCTTGAAGTCTAAAGACGCCAGCAGGGCAGTAGACAGCCGGACATGGAAGTCAAGATGCGTGCTAGCTCAGCTCCGGTTCAGTAGGAGTAGAAAATGCAGATTCAAGAGTGAAGGAGGATGCACAGTAAACAGAGGCAAAGCAGGCAAATGACAGCAGGGGATCGAAGACCGTGTAAAGGTCAGGGATGCTGATGGATTTGAGCTGGAGAACAAATCTGTTCTTGGAGAGAAAAAAATGTGTTCAAAGACAAAAGAGCAGAAATTCAAGCCATCAAAGGGTGATCAGGGGTCAAAAACAACTCTTTTGCAGAGAGGAAGTGGGGAGCAGCAGATGTGGAAATGGCTGGGGTCCTGTAGAGGGCTTTTACCAAACTTCCTCCAGACAAGACGTTTGCAGGACAGCAAGGGTATGCTATACAGCTGCGTAAGGGAAGCCGGGCTTCTGGAGGGAGAAGGGCCAGGCTGAGTAAGGGAGGACGTGGGCCCTGAACTGCCGAATGCATTGGCCTTGTGATTCATCTGAGATTAAACAGGGTCCCTCTTAGAATCAGAGATGCTGCAGGAGTGGACTCAGACACACTGACACACAGACTCACAGACCCACAGACACATAGACACACAGACTCACAGACACACAGACATAGACTCACAGACACACAGACACATAGACTTACAGACACACAGACACATAGACTTACAGACACACAGACACATAGACTTACAGACTCACAGACTTACAGACTCACAGACACATAGACTTACAGACTCACAGACTCACAGACTCACAGACACACAGACACACAGACACACAGACTCACAGACTCACAGACACACAGACACACAGACTCACAGACACACAGACTCACAGACACACAGACTCACGGACTCACGGACTCACGGACTCACGGACTCACGGACTCACGGACTCACGGACACACGGACACACGGACACACGAACACACGGACTCACGGACACACAGACACAGACTCACAGACACACAGACACAGACTCACAGACACACAGACTCACAGACACACAGACACACAGACACCCTTCAGTGGCTCTGCTGCTGTGTGTAACTGACGGTACAGCCGCCGTCTTCTTCCCTTTACTGACACATGACGTGGTTTCCTTGTCAGCATGTGTCATTTCCCTCTGGAATTAATTACACCGCTAGTTTTCCTCGAGACGTTGGCAATTTCCCCCCCGCACTGGGCTCTTTTGACTCTTACATGTGTGGGTCCCATGTCCGGCTTTCGGCTGGGATGTCATTTGGTTTCTTGGCCAGCTGTGTTCCCCGGGAACCCACTATGCATATGAAATGAGCACGGAATGGCCAGCTGTCCCTCCGAAGGGTTGGGTAGCTGTGCAGGGTGGTGCCCAGATCCAGGTTCTGCGGTTACCTGAAGTGGAAGTGAGCCACTGAGGCTCATGATGACCTTGCAGATTCGCGTCTGCCTCTGCACAGCCGGTCACTCGATACCCGAGCTGCAGCTTCCTCCTCGCTTTACTACGACCTTCTTCTGCACAGACAGTTTATTTTGGTGCCCTCAGACTTTCGGTTTTTGTTGTTAGTGCTTTTCATGGCAGGGACGAGTTTCTGCTTTTCTGCCATGACATCCCTCTGGGCCCCTCCTGTGGTCAATGTTACAAGAAACAAACAGTGCTTCTTGTAAGTGTCTCGTCTGATCTACATAAAACTATTAATAACACCAGGCAGGGAAATTCTCCGGCTTCGATTCTTGTGCGCTGCGCTGTGAATCTCCTTGCCGCTCAGCAGCATGTCCTGACTCTGCGTCTTTGCCCTGGTCTCTTGCTGTCTCGTAATTTGTTTCGTCCCTGTGCCTTCAGGTTTCTTCTGAGGCAGTTACCACCCACCGTCTAGTACATTTCTGACTCCTCCATTTGTGCTCATCGTGTGGCTAAGCTACATCACCTCTTCAGCTCCGGCAAACAATGCGTCTTGTTGTCTGAGTCTCTTCATTTGACTCTGACCTGAAATAAAGTGGATATGGGAAGGGTGGGGCATCATGGCTCGTACCTTTGCAATCCCCCGTCTCAGGAGGCTGAGCCAGGAGGATTGCTGTGAGTTCCGGGCCAGCCTAGGTGCTAGCGTGAGACCCAATCTGAAAACACAAAATAATAGGACAAATTAAAAGAAATAAATGAAGAAATGTTAGATGCTTTGTGGGCAAGAAGATGCTTTAAATAGTAAATCAGTGGAAAATAATAATGGCCTCTTTAATTCGCTACATGAAAATCTTCTCAAAAAATGCAAGCTTTAAATTTTTTCATGAGCATCTTCCTGAATCAATAAATGGCCTTTGAACATGTAATTTTAATGACTGCATAATTATACATCATTTGAATGCTCTGTAATTTGTTTAATCACTCCTCACTGTTAAGTATTTAGGTTTTTAACATATTTGATATTATAAATTATGCTGTGATTAACACCCTCATACATTAATCTTTGTCCACCATGCTGATGGTTTTCCTAGGGTAAATTTCAAGAAGCTTAATTCCTGGGTCATAGGAACCACTCTATGCCTCTTGATATACATTGCAAAATTACTTTTCACAGAGTGCAATGATTCTTATGCTGTTGAACCCTAAACTTAGTGTCATTGTTAGAAAATTCTTCGCTGCACTGATAGCGTCTGAAGTGTGTCTCTTAGTCCACAGACTCGTGTTGAGACACAAATGGGGATGTCATTTGTAGTCACATCCTAGCAGTGATTCCCAACCTTCCTAACGCTGCAACCCTTCAATAGTTTCTCCTGTAATGGTGACCCCCAACCATCAAATTATGTTCATCGCTACTTCGTAACTGTAACTTTTGCTACAGTTATGAATCGTAATGTGAATATCTGTTTCCTGATGATCCTGGGTGACCCCTGTTAAAGGAGTCATGAACCACAAGTTGAGAATTGCTGTTCCAAGGAGCACCTAAAATGGATCATGTGTCTGCACATTCTTTGATTCTTTGGCCATTTGTATTTCTCCTGTGATTTGCTTGAAGGTGTATTTATCTTTTATCAGCTCTCCTTTGTCCTACAGAATTTTAATTAAGGATCATAACCATTCATCTATCATATTGATTATATCCATTGGCCTGTCACTGTTTTAACATCCTTTCTGTTTATAACCTCATATCTGTTAAGCACACCCTGGGTTCCTTTGAGCACATAATGAGTTCAGCTTTTATATTTAATCATGTAGTTCTCTATCATCACACAAGGATGATAAGATGTTTTTCTGAATCTTTAATTTTTTAAAACTAAGGTTTTACTACACAGCTCTGGCTGGTTTGGGGCTTGTATCAATCTTCCTGCTTCAGGTTTCCAGTTGCTCAAATCATGTGTGTGTGTGTGTGTGTGTGTGTGTGTGCGCGCGCGTGTGTGTGCGCGTGTGCGTATGTGTGTGTGCGCGCGTGTGTGTATGTGTGTGTGTGCGCGTGTGTGTATGTGTGTGCATGTGTGTGTGTGTTCGTGCATGCGTGTGTGTGCCGAGCTGATAGGCT